GTAGATTTTGTTACCATTGCCATGCATTATACGACTGATAGACTGCAACGGCTGGAGTTAAAAATCATCGAATGTGTTCTACTGAAGAAACAAAGTCACCTACATCTTGGAAGCCCTGGGGGTAAGCAGATAAACATCACATTTTCATTTTTGGGTGAACTATCCCTTTAAATTCTAACCATCAGCGCGGACCAGACAGACAATCAGAGGGCATAATGATGACCTGAAGCACGTCGAAATGCATTTTATATCTTTATTCACTTAAGGACCAAGGCTGATTCACCCTCAAAGGGCAGCACTGGCTTGACAAGGCATGAAAAAGCGTGGCTGCTGCTGCTGTGAAGATGCTGCAAGAAAACAGATGCCAGGCTCCCGATGATGAAGATGATGTTAGGCGCTAAACCTCCTCGTGCACTCACCTCCTCGGCGTGTTTCCTGAGCGCTTTCTCGCGCTCGTACTGAGTGATCAACTGCTCGTTATCCTCCTTGAGGAGCTCCAGCTCCACCTCGTGCTCCTGGTTCTCGGCGAACACCGAGTCGAGGTTCTCCAGCACCGCCACGACCAGCGGCATCAGCTCCTTCACCACGTCCTCGTCGTATTTGCGGATGAGCCTCTCGAACTCGCGGTAGATGGAGTTGGCCAGGCCCGAGACCCTCTCCGACATGATCGCCGATGTGCCCGGATCGTCCTGGTACACAGCTCCGTCATCTAGCTCCATTTTCCTTCCTCTCCAGGGAGACTGTCCTAGATCTAAACCTCCGCTGTTCCAGACGAATGTGTCTCGGTTTATATCTGAAGAACGAAAGCTGATGTATTCCCGTTATGTTCTCCGAAACACGGCCACAATGGCCCCACGGAAGTCCAGAGTCCCTTCCTGGAACCGGCCGATGTATTACGTGGAGTATTTTTTTTTTTCCCGCGGTCGCACACAACAGCTGAGCTGTTGACTAGACAATTGCGCGGTGACGTCACGCTGGGTACCGTAACACGGTATACCGTGATAATTATTCTTGAGACATGATAGGGCAAAACCTGTCCCACAACATGACTTGACATTATCTTATTTATTTATGTTTTATATATATATATTTTTAAATAGCACAATTCCCACTCTGGAATTAATCATTTAATTATTGATAATAATTAATTTGATAACTAGAGTGTTAATTATGGGGGTTAATATTCAGTTCACAAAGGAAATAAAATGTAATTTAAAAATAGTAATAAATAGTCGCAATCAAAAATTGCGTCAAAATTGCGGTCGCCTCAAGTGGTAATTAGCTGTAATAAGTAAACTTTGTTTAATATAGCATCTAGACTTGCATTACATTGCGTTGTGAAAAGCCTAGTGTCGAGGTCAGGGACACTTCTGAATGGTTGGTGTAAGTTTCATAAAGCACGTTAGAATAGTAGACATCACTTTATAATGGTTTGTGGCATTTTCTCATGACAGTTTATATTTATATGTAATTCCTGATAGGCATGTGTCAGTTAGTGGTGGCACTTTTGATTAAAACGTTTCATTTTTTTTTTTAGTCATGGCCTCTGCATAGTCTCTATTATTTTATAATTACAAATGATACAGCTGAACTGTCAAATCTATGCAAAAAACAAAATGCGTATTTACGTATTTGAATGCATTGTACAAAGCAGACTACTGGAAATAAACTTACAATGAAAAATACTCGTTAAGAGGCATTAGACGTCGTAAATGCTTGACCGCAACATACTGTTAAATTAAATATCGTTCTGCCGTTAAGTGCGTGTAAAAAATACATTTTTTTAAACTTATGTGATATGCTCCATGTAAACAGCATTTTCAACATTTATTCATAATTATGCATGCAGTTTTTATTACCATAATTATTGAAAGTTTACATGGAACAAGTGGAATAAATTAAGTAACACCAAAGGAATAACACACAAATCGTGTCCCTTAAAATATTTATTGAAGACATGTAAAAACTAAAAAAATAACTGTAAACCCTACAGGAATGACTCGAGAGGGGTAAACATTGGGGATGTTGAACTTAAAGAAAACAAGTTGTAGTCCATTAAAAAAAAAATCTACACTACAAAACTCACTCCAAAATGTGCTTTGACAGAATCCACACCACCAGATTTAATGATCTTACCATATATTACTGCATTTCAACAAGCTGATGTTTGCAGGTAATAACTGAATATTTAAACAACCTTGCTGTAATATCGCATATCATTGACAAATGTTGCGTCCTAAAAAAATGATACGAGTCACACAAAGAGAATTGTGCTGAATGAAATATGAAACACTCTCTTATTTACAGTTGACTCGTTGCTATGGGGGCATCAACAAGAATAGTTATGTACATAAACTGAAATACAAATAAGGCATTTAAGTGGAAAAAAATGAAAAGACTTTCTTTTTGAAAACAATTTTCATTGGTGGCAAAACTGTTAATTGAAACAAAGGATGATTTTACCACATGTACAATGTGGGGAAATAAAAAAAAAAAAAAGGGATATAATAATTTGAATTCATGAACAAACATTTCATTTTTCCCCCCTCTTAAATCAGGAAAGAACCGCAAACGTATTCGACACTGGGAACTAGGGCTGCACGATAAATCGCATGCGATATTTAATGCGCATCTTGTCAGAAAGTCGGTTCTGTAATCAGCGGTAAATCTCCATCACCTGCGGGCTTTCACATTGAGCAGCATTAACTACACAGAGCCGTTGTTCACTGACGAGCAGCGCAAAAAATCGCGCAAATATGGACGTGGTTTTGCGCAACTCGTCAGTGAACAACGGCTCTGTGTAGTTAATGCTGCTCAATGTGAAAGCACACAGGTGATGGAGATTTACCGCTGATTACAGAACCGGCTTTACTAATAAGATGCACGATAAATATCGCATGCGATTTATCGTGCAGCCCTACTGGGAACTATTTCCAATCATGGACAAATTTACAATGACGCATTTAACATTAACGTACAATGCACTGTTCAATATTTCAATACACCTTGCATATAGAAAAGTTTTTTTTCTTCTTTTTCTTTTCAATAGCAATAAAAAAAAGTATTGCAAGATGCTAGAGACAGAAGAAAAGTTTGCAAAAACGTCCTCGTTTCTGTAAGGGGATGGTTGGCGTCCAGACGGAGAGAAATAAATCAGTGATTGAACTGGCGTTATGCGTTCTTTGTCTTGGGCATCTTGCAGTGGCATCATTGGCTTGTGCCCCTCTATAAGTCTGATGGAGACACAACTCTCTGTTCTTTGGCACTTAGGCTGGTAGACTCAGCTTCTTTCCTTTCAGCACTGTGGACCAGACAAAAGAAAAAAAGAAAGTCAGAAAATGAAGCAGGAAGAGGACTTTCTTTATCCTAAAACATGTCAAATCCTAAAAATGGAGGCCAAACAAGTGCTTAAACTTCAATGAATACATGCATTAATGTTGAAGGATTCACATAGGTACCTTTCCTAAAGTAATAGTTCACCTTAAAATGAAAATAAGCTGAAAATGTACTCCCCTTTAGGCTATCAAAGATTTCTGCTACAGATTTGGAGAAATGTAGCATTTCATCACTTGCTCACCAATGGATCCTCTGCAGTGAATGGGTGCCGTCAGAATGAGAGTCCAAACAGCTGATTAAAACATCACAATAATCCACATGACTCCAGTCCAATAATAATGTCTTATAAAGTGAAAAGTGGCGTGTTTGTAAGAAACGAATCCATTATTGTTTTTTTTTTTTTACTTTAAACTGTTGAGTCTGGTCAAAATATGGAAAATGCAATCCATAATAGCTCTTCCTCCAGTGTAAACGTCCATACCCTATTGTCCTCTCAAAATCTATGAGCACATGTTTTGGACCATTTTTGCATGTATTGCATCGCTGCTTAATCTGTGCATATTTCTCTCCTGATTCAGACAACAACTTTTTTACTGGAGAAAGCAATATTACGGATTCGTATTTTAGCCACATCTTAATGATGGATTGGTTTCTTACAAATATGCAGCTTTTCACTTCACAAGACGTTAACTGATGAACTGGAGTCGTGTGGATTACATTATTGCGATTACATTATCAGCTGTTTGGACTCTCATTCTGACGGCACCCATTCACTGCAGAGGACCCATTGGTGAGCAAGTGATGTAAAGCTACATTTCTCCAAATCTGTTGTGATGAAGAAACATTAATCTCACAACAAGGTAAACTGTACCTTAGATGTTTTAAATTCTGAATTAAAGACAAGTCATAAAATTCCATTTTCAATTCAATCAGCAATGTGTTTTAAGAAAGTAAATGGGGCAATTTTAATCTCATGCTGACTTTAAGTTCATCATGACTCATCAAGTAGATGTCACTCACACCCAAGGTCCTTAAAAAGGTTTAAACTCACCTTTTGTGATGTAAAGGTAGAAGAAGTCACAATAGAGAATAGTCTGGACGACCCCTGCCACGATAGCAATCATGTCAAAGAAGCCCTCAAAGTAGAACCTCCAGATCCAGTTGAAGAGGTAGAGGGTGCGGTAGACCCCCAGGCAGAACAGATAGTGGGTAGTGATGGTCTCGGCCTCTCCGGTCTTGCTAATCATAAACAGCTGAGGCAGGATGGCCACAGACTCAAGGTAGATGGAAAAGGTCCACAGAATCTGATAAGAAAACAAAAATTGATACAGGTTTGAAACAGCTTGAGGGTAAGCAAATAATTAGAGAATTTTCATTTTTAAACCAACTGTCTTTAACAAGTTGTAATTTGCTTTTATTTATTTCAGTGTTTATTATTTGCAAGTAATTGCTTTTATTCATTTTTTTAATACATTTTATTTGTGTGTATGTATATTTCTCTTTCAGTGCATACTGCTTGGAATTATTATGGTTGTGTTTAACAACGATAATGCCTGTTGTTATTTGCAGGTGTTTAATAAAGGTTAAAATCAAAACTGGCAAGAATAACATTTATGATGGTCAAATGCTCAAGTGCAGTGAAGACTCTAATACTCACCTCCAAAGGAGAGAAGTCGTGGTTGACTAGAAAGGCAAGACCTCCCACTGGAACCACAAGAAACTCAACTCTGAAAGTGTCGTGGTTTCCATCATAAGTTGCCCTGAACTTTACGTAGATCAGGTAGACTGTGGCATAGGCACATCCGACATAGATAACCTGTTTTCACAGCACAGAAACAAAGAAACTGTTTAACTACAAAAGCTCAGAGCACATATAAACCTGTTTACGCCGATGTGACAAAACAATCACTGATATTTAAGATTGACAAATCCATTGATGTGTGCATGTTTTTCTATGCCTTTACCTTCATGCAAGTGTTGTATAGAGAAATGAAGGATGTCAGGAGATCCAGGTACCGAGTGGTGAACACCAAGGCAAAGAGTATCTGGCTCTTCCCAGAGATACCTGAGGGCAAAAATATTTGCACTCGGACAACTGCAACTTACAAGTAAATAAGAGAACACAGCAGCAGAATACCGAACTCATAAACAGTCCAAAAGAGTTGCATCTAGGTTCTCTATATCTCTGTAAATCAAAAGTCTGATTGTATCTAGTATATTAGTATATAATCAAATGTATCTAGTCTACCCAGATGACCCATCCTTGCAAAGCCCACACTTAACTACATGCACTGCCACGTCAAATCAAGGAATGCAATGCACTTTAGGCACGTATGAGTATGAGAATTTAAAACGTATGACATTAAGCATACGAAAAAAAGCCCTTTTGACTCTCACAACGCAGCGTATGAAGATGCAAATTGTCCTCTACATAGTCAAATGCACAGTATGAATGACGAGATGGTTGATAGAGCGCGCATATATATATATATATATATATATATATATAAATAACAAACTATTATTAAACTGCAGTTAGTAACTAGGCCACAAGTTTCAGCTATTTCAGTCACTCAGAACAAGCCTGTGATGTTTGATATCCTTCAAATCAGTATGCAAAACATTAACGATCA